ACACATCAAGCTACAAAGATACGACCTCGACAATGTCTACAAACTTTGTACTACATGTATTATGGTGATTGCAGATGCACTCGGCAGATTGCCCAACCCCTCCAAGCTCGATGCTGTACCACTTGATGAATCTGTAACTGAGATACACTCGGATGGCCACCTTACTGTCCAACAGATTGGTCTTGTCCAATTTGGTCATGCCTGACACCACATGCTGCAGCACAAGATGACAGGGACCCAATACTGTCAGAGCTTCGAAGAGTCATCTACTCTGGTTGTCAAGACTATATCAAAGATCTCCCTCGTGACCTAGGACCCAAGAACTCAGACTCTAATGCAGCATCATCTTCAAAGGGTGACAAGTCCTGATACCAGAATCTATGCCCAATGGTATTCTCAACAACATCCACACTGGTCACCTAGACATTGAGAAAACAATTGACGCAAGGCACAGCTTTCTGTTTTCTTGCCAAAAATAAATGACCACATAAGCCGTCTGGTGTCCTCGTGTCACACTCGTAATAAGGAACACCAGCCTAGCCAACACTAAGAGCAACTTAATTGAGCCATGATATCCCAACCTCACGAAGGTTAAAACTGGGAACTGACCTCCACATGCTCAGAAACGAACAACTGTGCCATGTCTTGCACTTTACAAAGGTGACTGATATTTTAATTTGGTGGTTGCGCATCACAAGAAAATGATAGATGACGTCATGAACATGTTCATGTAGGCCTTATAGTTCTGCTGGTTAATTACGTTGTTTCAGTTATAATTTCAAAACAAATGACGCGTAATAAGAATGTTATAATGTCTTACATATAGATAATTGTCCAAACAAATTATAGAATGTGATAAAGACCAAATTGAAGTAGTCGCACAACTGCAAAAATGACAGTTTTGCATTCCTCTTAAACAGTCATGTCAATCAAATGATTCAATTGTAGCATTTCTGCAAATAATCAAAGTGATGTCACTTTAACATCAAATCAGCTTACGGTTGCTATTCTCTTTGATTACATTACGCTAATTGACCCTTAAAATGTCAAATTATCGACTTCGAATCTCATCGCAATGCTTCACAGCCTTATTCTCTACATTTAATTTCCCTACGAGCTCAGTAGTTGATTGTACGTGACATCTTTCGGACGTCATAAATAGTGCATTCAATTAGCTCCCCCAGCATACTCGCACCTACTCCTCGCGTGATGACAGACATGCGCGGTTGAACTAAATAAACGAACGGTTTCGGGTTAAGTTTCGTGCAAGAGCTGAAAAGTTAAACTTTGACACTATAAGCGCCCGCCCGCAACTTGCGTGAAGTGACTTGAGAAGGCCATGGTGGACTGTGCTAGCATAACCATGCCTGAAACAAATAACAATAATGCACAATCACAATGAACATAATGGGGGAATAGACAGACAGAAAGAAATACTGCTGTCCCGTTTTTAAGTGGATTGGTTTTAAATGAAGTTGACATACTTAACTGAAGCCATGTAGCTTTATACGCACTTGTGTCAAATCTATTGAATTGTGTGTCAAATTTACGTCCATCATCCAGAGTTATCTGGACGTATAGTTTCCTTTTGGAATTTCCTACCGCTGGCGCATCGCCGAATTCACATTGGCAGCCATGTTTAAGCATGGCCTCATGGGATACTTACCCAAGTAACCGGCTCGGCGAGTCGGTTACTTGGGCCAGACTCAAGTAAGCGCGTAAAGTCACGCGAGAAAAAAAATCGAACGCTGCGCAGGAATCAAACACGCTATTTGTAAACCTCCTACCATCTGATTTTGTTTGCATCCCATCCTCTTTTTGATCATAACACATTGGCAAATCTTTGGTGTGAAAAAATACTGCTTTTGCCCACCATTTAAGATAACAATTTATCTTATTTCTCCTTACATTTTCCTCATGAGACCTATGCACTATTGCACATTTCCTCATAGCAAGACTGTTATGACCCTTGATAACTATACAAGTGTGATGAAACAATAATGCTGTCAGTGCATTGCCTCAGTGTTTTTTGACAATTCCGGGTATCACCCCAGAATCCACTCAGTGTTACATCATAATAATTTCTGTTTAAAAAAACCCAATACAATTCCTGCCTTCCTTGCCATCTAGGCCCTTCAGGTATCGCCCTGCAATCCTCTCTGTGTAACATCATAATAATATCTGTTCAATACAATATAATTCCACTCTTCTTGGCCCTCTAGGCCCTTCAGGTATTGCCCTGGAATACTCTCTGTTTTACACCATAATAATTTCTGTTCAATACAATACAATAGAATTCCTATTCCTATCTTCTTGGCCCTCTAGGCCCTTCAGGTATCGCCCTGGGATCATCTCTGTGTAACACTATAATAATTTCTGTTCAATCAAATATAATTTCTCATCTTCTTGGCCTTCTAGGCCTTTCAGGTATCACCCTGGAATATGTGTTACCTGATAATATTTTCTGTTCAATACAATATTCTACTGCGCTTTACTCAAAGAGTATTATGCAACTACCGGTAGTGTGGAAAAAATACTAGAAGAGGAATAGATAAATACAACTTAATGAACTTGGCTTTAAAATAGGCTGCGGAAAGACTGAGAAAACGTGCACAGCGAGAGCTCTGTAGTAAACATCTTTCACGAAACGCTGCTAAAATAAGAAAAAAGAGGAATTATGGCGGGTGAGACGCAAATTTTTAACTTTAATACATTCAGTCCAAAGCACATTTCCTGGATCTTTGGCAGGTATGTAAATCTTGCATTAGCACTATCTTCCCTGTATGGCATATTGATAAAGACCAAAGTTCTTAGTCAAGGCTATTCTTGAAAAACCAGCTCCATTCTTCTATAAAGCAGCTTAACCAACACTGGTATCAACTGGTTGGACAATAAATGAATGCCTTCTTATTGTGTTGCATGAAGTATCTGATAATTGTATCTGTTCTTCTAAGATGAGGAATCGGCCCAGAGCTGGTTTGTGCACGCTGGTAAAGTCTATCAGAATTTCGGGTATTAACTGAGTCTGGAGAAATTTCCTGTCTTTTTGACCCTCTAGGCCCTTCAAGTATTGCCCTGGAATACTCTGTGTCGCTGCCAGATAAGCCAGCTGAGTTTGAACAATACCCTGGCTCACCAAATCAGTTATAATTTCAGATAAATTGCTATGGATGCATTTCATAGGCCCAGTCACCTGCGGTTTAAGAACCAAAAATCAAAAGTGAAAAATAACTCTTTGTCTGCGATGGACTTTTCTGCTTAATGCAAGGGAAAAGCCCATGTCTTTGCTATGTAGACCCACCATCCCATTTGAACTCATTGCTTGAATTTGCTTTAACTAGATTTGTGATTGTCTGACAAAAGACGATCCAACAAAGATCTTTGTCTTGGCAACGCCCGCCTTCCAGTAACAAAAATGATAAACAAAATTAAATGTTTCTGCTTAGAATGTATTCCATGTCTACCATACCTTCGGCTTGGGCCATTATCGGCCCCTCGCCAGTTTTAAACTTGTTCAGCTTACTTGTTCAAAGCCAGCCAATCACATATTTATTTCCCATTCATATACCTTTTTTGAATAATTCAGCAAAAATTGCCAAACTTTTTTGTAGAAAACTTTGCCGTTCTGACATTTTGTGGTTGTTTCATACCCATGTTTACTACATGGTTATAACATGTAGCTCTCACTTATCAGAATTCAATAATAAAGGCCAACAACGTAGGATCATGAATATTAAAAAAAAAAGTAGGATCATAAATATTTAAAAAAATTGCTGGCTTGACAGACTTCAACACCAGATCGGGCGCAGAGCCCTGCAAATCTGAAAGCCGCCGCCCGCAGGGGTCTTTGTTGACAAGTATTCGTAGAATTGACCTATCGCCGTTTGCGAGTTAGCCACGCCCCTTAGTCCACCCTATGCAGTTTTTGTACACTAAGTCTCAGATTTTGCGTGTTCCGCGTCCATTTGTATATCATGAAATTGGAGAATGTTTTACTAAAAAGGCGGCGATGAGTCGTGACTCCTGTGTCCTTTCTCTGAGGTAAGATGTAACCATAGTTCTATGATCTAACAAATATCTAGCAATGATCTTCTCCGCCGCGGCGAAGCTCGCCTTTCAGTCACCTGTGGTTTTAGAAAGAAAAAAAAATGATTAACCAAATTTACTTTTTCTGCTTAGAATGTTTTTCATGTCTACCATGCCTTCGACTTGGGTCATTATCGGCCCCGGCTGGTTTCAAACGTAGCCTACTTGTTTAAGACCGGCCAATCACTTGCCAAAATTGCCAACATTTTTTGTAGAAAACTTTGTCGTTCTGACATTTTGTGTTTTTTTCCTACCCATGTTGACAGGCCACGGTAGAATTACCTTGTTTCTGCCTCAACATTAGTAAGAGAATGCAAACAACCCAAACCAGACTGTCCAAACAATATTGCCATTGGTCATACTCAAAATTTTGATGTCTGGTCCAACAGACATATGATTTATAGTTTCTTAGATCCCGATGTTTTACAAGATTGTGACCGACTGGTCCGAAGCACCATCCTTATGGTCCTAGAGAAGATATGAAGGGGTGACACCTGAAATTCTTTTTCCTAATTTGCATATATCATAAATGTCTGCTGTATTTACTTATTTGTTTCCATATTTGGGTATATTTATATATTACTTTTTTTTTAAAGTGTAATGTTGGGATCCTACTGACATATCTTTACTTGATTAACATTTTCTAAAGCATTTAGAATTCCCAAGGCGCTATTGATCACTAGCATCTTGGGCCAAGCCCATGCTAACTTTAATGGACCTGTTCGACTCAATCATGAGCCTACCTGCATGCTGTGTCCATGATTGTGCTCATCGTTGCTTGGTAAACAAATGTAGTAACGACGTTCCCATCTGGGTGGGGAGCACCTCTTTCACCAATGTTTGTCCTAATGTCCGTGCTCACGCAGCGCTGGCTTGTTTCCCGTCTTCAGGCTCTGGGGTCAACCTTTTAGCCTAATTTCGCTATAAGTTTTGTTATTTTTTTTATGGAAACCTAGGGGCTTAATCTGGTTAATTAATGTTCAATAAAATATTATTCCTGCCTTCTTGGCATTCTAGGCCCTTCAGGTATCGCCCTCGAATCCTCTCTTTGTAGAACTATAATAATTTCTGTTCAATACAATATAATTAATATAATTAATATAAATAATGTTTAGGTAAGAAATGGTATCAACTGGAAATTACCTTAAAGATATTTGAAGTTACAGTCGACTCCCGTTATAACGAGGTCCGATGGACTTTCACAATACTGTCGTTATAGCAGGAACCTCGCTAAAAAGAGAGCCAGACGTTCCCAGATATTATCTGGGCGATCTTGGTCTTGGGCTGGATCTTGGTCTTGAGTGTGGGCTGGATCTTGGGCTTCGTCTTGATCTTGAACTTGTGGTTGTGGTGCTTGAACTGGCTCGAAACCTGCTTTACGAAAGCAGTTGGCGATACAATCTTGCTTGACGGCTCCCCACGCTGTGTGAACCATATTGATGGCCTGCAAGACGTTGATGGGCTGAGGTGTTTCCCCGGCGTCGTAGGCATTGAGAAGACTCTGTAGCAGCTTGCGACGGTAATGAACCTTCATGTTCATTATCACACCTTGGTCCATAGGCTGGAGCTGTGATGTAGTGTTCGGTGGCAGGAACTGAAGAGTGATGGAGTTCAGGTGGGGGACTTTAGGATGCGCTGCGCAGTTGTCTACGAAAAGAAGAACTTTCCGTTTCTGCCTGGTGAACTTCTTGTCTAGACGGCGAACCCACTCAGTGAATAGATCAGATACATGTACCATCCACGCCTTGCGGTTGGCACGGTAGCTGACTGGTAGATATATCACGTTCTTGAAGCAGCGAGGTTTCTTGAATTTTCCGATGAGGAGGGGTTTCAGCTTCTCTGTGCCATCCATGTTAGCACAAAGCGTGACGGTGATGCGCTCCTTGCTCTGCTTACCGCCATGGCATTGCTCTCCCCTGAAAGCCATAGTTTTATCGGGGGTGAGTCGATAAAACAGGCCAGTCTCATCGGCGTTGAAGATGTCCCTCAGTCCAACAAAGATCTTTGTCTTGGCAACGCCCGCCTTCCAGTAACAAAAATGATCAACAAAATTAAATGTTTCTGCTACGAATGTTTTTCATGTCTACCATACCTTCGGCTTGTGCCATTATCGGCCCCTCGCCAGTTTTAAAGAGAGCCTACTTGTTCAAAGCATATTTATTTCTCATTCATATACCTTTTTTGAATAATTCAGCAAAAATTGCCAAACTTTTTTGTAGAAAACTTTGCCGTTCTGACATTATGTGTTTATTTCATACCCATGTTTACTACATGGTTATAACGTGTAGCTCTCACTTTAATATCAGAATTCAATAATAAAGGCCAACAACGTAGGATCATGAATATTAAAAAAAAAACGTAGGATCATAAATATTTAAAAAAATAGCTGGCTTGACAGACTTCGACACCAGATCGGGCGCAGAGCCCTGCAAATCTAAAAGCCGCCGCGCGCAGGGGTCTTTGTTGACAAGTATTCGTAAAATTGACCTATCGCCGTTTGCAAGTAAGCCACGCCCCTTAGACAACCCTATGGAGTTTTTGTACACTAAGTCTCAGATTTTGCGTGTTCCGCGTCCATTTGTATATCATGACATTGGAGAATATTTTACTAAAAAGGCGGAGATGAGGTGTGACTCCTGTGTCCTTTCTCTGAGGTAAGATGTAGCTAACAAATTAGATCTAGCAATGATCTCCGCCGCGGCGAAGCTCGCCTTTCAATCACCTGTGGTTTTAGAAAGAAAACAAAAATGATTAACAAAATTTACTTTTTCTGCTTAGAATGTTTTTCATGTCTACCATGCCTTCGGCTTGGGCCATTATCAGCCCCGGCCAGTTCCAAACGTAGCCTACTCATGGGCGTCGCCAGAATTTTTTCTAGAGGGGGGCAAAAAAAAAATTTGCCAAAAAATGCTTGTATTTCTCAACACATTCTCGATTTATCAATTTTAGAGGGGGGCAGGGACATTTTGCCCCCTCCCAACTCATTAAATTTACACCACTTTGTCTTCGCGCCTCTTTTTCTTTTCTTTTTTTTTCTTTTATTTTTCTTCCTTTTTTTTTTTTTTTTTTTTTTTTTTTTGCTTTTCCAGGGGGGGGGGGGCAAGTGCCCCCCCTTGCCCCCCCCCTCGCGACGCCCATGAGCCTACTTGTTTAAAACCGGCCAATCACTTGCCAAAATTGCCAACGTTTTTTGTAGAAAACTCAGTCGTTCTAACATTTTGTGTTTTTTCCTACCCATGTTGACGGGCCATGGTAGAATGACCTTGTTTCTGCCTCAACATTAGTAAGAGAATGCAAACAACCCAAACCAGACTGTCCAAACAATATTGCCATTGGTCATACTCAAAATATTGATGTCTGGTCCAACAAGATTGTGACTGACTGGTCCGAAGCACCATCCTTATGGCCCTAGAGAAGATATGAAGGGGTGACACCTGAAATTCTTTTAGTCTGCTGTATTTACATATTTGTTTCCATATTTGGGTATATTACTTTTGGGATCCTACTGACATATCTTTACTTGATTAACATTTTCTAAAGCGTTTAGAATTCCCAAGGCGCTTTTGATCACTAGCATCTTGGGCCAAGTCCATGCTAACTTTAACAGACCTGTTTGATTCAATCATGACCCTACCTGCATGCTGTGTCCATGATTGTGCTCGTCGCGTTGCTCGTTCCCATCTGGGGAGCACCCCGTTTGCCATTGTTGCCTTGATGTTCTGGCTGACGTGGCGCTGGCTTGTTTCCCGTCTTCAGGCTCTGGGGTCAACCTTTTACCCTGTGATCATCAAAACAATGCAATGTTTTTTTCTCAAAACAAATCTTCAATTTTTTGTTGTTGCTCAAAGTCCCTTTTCATGTCAAGTGTGTCATCTGGAAACAACACCCAACCTCTCAGTCTGCTCTGTGTAATGGGTGTCCATGATGCCATTATTATTTTGGGGCAAGTTCCATACCAGGAACCAGAGCCTTGGAGGGGGGAGGGGGCTGAAGTAAGTAGGTTTAAATGCATGTAAAAACGTGGGTTTCTTCTTTTTGAACCACCCTGTATAGGTTTGAATGAAAGGTTAATTCAATACAGTTTCACGACTTAATCATGATCCTACCCATCTTACTGTGCAGCTGTGGGATTGTGCTCCGAGTTACTGGGAAATCGGATGTATATCCTCTTCTCCCATTTTGGCAACACACCTGTTTTGGAGACCTCCTGAATCTCCCTACTAACCCTCTGTTGTTGAATGGGACAGCGTTGTCGTCCTGTATCAACCTTTTTTCCAAAAAACTAGTTATTTATTCCCAAAAAGCCAAGATGAATACACAACGATAGGGTCAGGAGACAAAGATGTACCTAAGGCCAAAAAAAAAAATATTCGGTCTCTGGTCAGACCAAGGTTCTGAAATGGACGCGGCCACGCGGCTTTTTTTTTTTTCTTCAAGCTTGGATTGTACAGACAAGGTGGGGTACTATTTTGCTTTTTTGGTGTCCTCATGTACATTGGTGTCCTCCATAATTTGCCTTGGTGCTTTTGATCATTTGCCTTGGTGCAATTTCCCATTCCTTGGTGTTCTTTGGTAAAAAAAAATTTAGGAGGTGCGGAAATAGAGGGCGCTGTTCGAGCTACCGCGGAACATTTTGGAAAAAAAAAAGATCGACGAGCATGCTTAAAATCGACGCGCGCGCTGACCAGAGACCAACTTATTTTTTTTTTGGCCTAATATCTATTAATTATGAGGCCGGCCTTTTTGTTAAATGGTGTAGGAGTTAAGGATTTTTTAAATGCAATTGCTCGATCGTCACTACATTGAAAGAGTGTTCACAACGTAGGTAAAAGTATTAGGTTCCTCACTGGCCTCTCTCTAACTAAAAAATATAGGTGGGGACCAATATAATTATGCCATTTAGGAGGGAATGGGGAGGGGCAAGTAAGAGGGTTTCCATTCTCTTAACATAAGAATTATTTTTCACTGGATATTTCCACAAACATTAGTCAACATGATATTTTTTAATAAATCATGCATAATTCAGAATACTTTTATTTGTGTGAGTGAATGTGGGAGGTGATACGAGTACTGACATCCGAGTAAAGGTTGTCGATGACCGAAGTAAAATGGTCCGGAATATTGTGCCTATTGAAGAATCTAGTAATCGAGCTGTGATGAACCGAGTCGAAAGCTTTCGATAAGTCAAGGAGCATTACGTAGTACGATTTATTATCATGCCTGTACTTAGATATAAGCTGCTCGAGCATGGAGATATTCTCGAGACAACCATCGAGGGGGATGAACGCTTTCTGTCTACGGTTGAGATTAGTAGCGTCCGTGAGTCTAGTATTGAGAACACGAGCGTACAACCTCAGGAGGTAGGACCCTATAGTGATCGGCCGCCATTTCGAGATATTCGACGGGTCTACCCCTCCTTTTGGGATGAGGATGCTAAACAGAGCAGCTAGATCGCTCGGGTCGACTCTGTTAACGTCCTTAATGAATCCTATCGGGGCCAGCGGCTCCACTCTTCTTCATCTTGCTCAGGGCAATAGCAACCTCGCCCGGTGCTATGGGGTAAAGAATACCCACGAGATCCAAATCATCGTCCAAGGGCTTGGACTCAAGTTTGACATGATGCTTTCTCGGTTCTTCAGGATGGTTGCCAGGGTACTTGAAACAATCCCGTACTGATGCGCAACATCAGCCTTCTTGAGTCCGGCATCAACAGCCCTACTCAATTTCTATTCATTCACCATTTCCACAATTCCAATCAATCAAACTCCATGAAATTATTTATACACACATTACATAATTCACATAACAATATCAAAATTTAACTTATAAATTTGTCAGACCAGTTTCATACGGTGAACAGGGTTAGTGATGTCCAGGTATAGAACTCTTTCTGTCAGTTTTACTAGGAAGCTTACCTCTAGTACCGGGGCTAATCCCATCTGGGATAAAATACGTCTTTTCTTTGTGTATATAAGATTTTATTGCAGCTCTTCTCTCGAAATCTTTTTGGATGTCCAGCGCGTCGCTCGTTTACTTTGTCCAACCTCCTATTCGCATCGACTGCGTTCCATAATTCTGACTGCATTGTGTATTTGCATCAACCTCTTGTACGGTAGCTGGACTAATCCCATCTGGGGTAAAATAAGTCTTCTCCTTCTCTATATGAAATTTTATTCCACCTCTTCTCTCGAAGTCTTTTTTTGATATCTAGAGCATCGGTCGTGAAAGACGTCCACCCTTACAATCTATTTGCATCAACATATTCAAAAGTTCTGACTTCTGAATCAAGCAAAATAAATTAAAAGCAAAAGACAAAACTTTAATTTGCAAATGTACTCAATTTCTACTCATTCACCATTTCCACAATTCCAATCAATCAAACTCCATGAAATGAGTTATACACACATCACATAATTCACATTACAACATCAAAATTATACATGTACAATAATTTTTCAGACCACTTTCATAGGGTGATCAGGGTTATGATGTCCAGGTATGTAACTCTTGCCGTCAGCTTTAATAGGAAGCTTACCTCGAGTACCGGGGCTAATCCCATCTGGGATGAAATAGGTCTTATCCTTATGAATGTTAAAGTTCATCCCAGCATTCCTCTCGAAACAGTTCTTGATCTCCAGTGCATCCCCGGTGTACAGTGTCCATCCCCTATTCGCATCTACTGGGTTCCACAATTCCGACTCCATGGTTATGCGCATTTTTTCAGACCAGTTTCATAGGGTGAACAGGGTTAGCGATGTCCAGGTATGTAACTCTTGCCATCAGATTTACTAGTAAGGTATTTAATAAACAGATGCAATCACTCAAATCCAAAAGTAAACTAATTGTTCAATCTTAAATTTAAATTTTAATTAATTTTCCATTTCTATAAAAAATTATGGTTAAATACATCAATATTCAATCTTCAAAGGTCTGATCCCTTTTCAGCAAACTGCTACGCTTGGAATTGGTGCAGT